CCGTCTTGGTATGCTTCTACCCCATTTTCTATAGGCATTATTTTAACCTTATGTATTTGATTTAACGATTTTTTCAGTACATTGCTATGCTCTAATCTACAACTATTCCCGCGACATTTTCTATTCAAATAGACCGTCTCAATCTCGCCGGAGTCTACTTGTTTATCTACCTCGGATAACATCATGCATCTTGCTCCTTTGCTATCCGGACAATTAAAACCAGCCGAATATATAGAGCAAGAACTAAGTAGCATGGGTAAAATCAAGATGATAAATATAAATTTATTAACTTGTTTAAATTTATTGCCGATCCAACTTTGACTAATAGTGAAATCATTTATCATTTTTTGCCTTTTCTGCTCGATATTGTTGTAGCTTTTCCTGAACATCTAATGCACCTAAATATACCCCTTTGGTAAATACTATGTCTACCTTAGTACCACCAGACACCAATAATACTGGCGACATGCTTTCAGCCTGCTTAATATAGTAATCTGCTATCTTCTCAGCAGCATTACTAGCCCCAGCAAATCCACCTTCTTGTAACATGTCACCCATATTTTTCTTTTTGGTACTTCCCATGCCAAAACTACTAACAATTACTTGATCCTGACCTTTGGCAGCACCAGCAAATCCACTAATCACTCCTCCGATCATTGCGTTCTTTAAATGCTTACTGCTAGTTTGTACCACTTTACCTTTAATACCGTTCATACCATCATCGCCATAAATCAGACCGGCTATTTTAGTGGTATAAATTAGCTCATTGATTGAATCCTTACATGACAAAACCTCTGCCCTGATAACCGCTCGCTCAGATGATAAATCACCATACGAAGAACCCATAATTTGGCAATGAGTTAAATCTATGTCAAAATTCTGAGGCAAATTACCACGATCAGTAATTCTAATAATTACTGGCACTGGTTCTGAAGCAGAACCGATAGATGTCGACACCACAATACCACCTAGTAATACTCCTTTAACATAAGCAGTCTCCGGAATATAACTACGGGCTGATTTCGGACGATCAAATCGCTCACCACGATCTAGGTGATTTACCGTAATACGACTATCATCTATTAACGGATGATGGGTTTTTGTAGGTCTATCGTCTTCTGTAGACTTTATGCGAGCATTATTCAACTCCCTTCTAGCTGACTCTTGCTCCTCAGTAATATATTGCATTTGAGCTTTCAGCTTCTCTATCTCGCCTTTTAACTGATTAGTGTAAGCTACTGATTGCTCATTAATACTGCTTTCAATTAGCTTTAGTTTCTCGCTTGTGTGACTCTTAGTATCCATCAGCTTATCTTCAAAATGATTACGCCACATTTTATCTATATCAAGAGCATCACTTGCTACTACTAGATTTAATGGTAATTTTGCCTCAGACTCAGTACCAATATTACTTGCCTTATTTGCTTGATACTTCATAAAGATTAGACCTATAACTACCAAAGCTGCGAGTAAAAGTAATATAATTACATCTTGCTTCTTTTTCGCATTAGTTGAGTCTTTAGCATGCGATGCTTGAAGGCTAGTATTAGCAATATCTTGCGTTTGATCATTTGGCTTTAATTTTGCATTAATAATTTTACTAAAGATATTTTTACATTTCTTAATCATAAGCTACTTCTTTGGTA